TCTCTCCAATTTGTTCTACATCCCTTCTGTGTGTGTGTGTCGGGGGGGGGGGACAAAAACTGGACGCAATACTCCAGGTGTGGCCTTACCCGCGCCGAACAGAGGGGAATAATCACTTCCCTCAATTTGCTGACAATGCTTCTACTAATAGAGCCCAATATGCCGTCGGCCTTCTTGGCAACAAGGGCACACTGCTGACTCATATCCAGCTTCTCATCCACTGCAATCCCCAGGTCCTTTTCGGCAGCACTGATGCTTAGCAAGTCAGTCCCCAGCCTGTAGCAGTGCCTGGGATTCTTCCTTTCGAAGTGCAGGACTCTGTTTAAACCAAGACTGGATGTTTTTCTAAAAGGTCAGCTCTAGGAATTATTTGGGGGGAGTTCTCTGGCCTGTTCCACACAATGGTCCCTTCTGTTCCAGAAGGGACCATTGTAATCATCTGGGGTCAGACCAGATGATCACAATGGTCCCTTCTGGCTTTGGAATCTATGAATCCCCCCCTTATTATAACCGATTTTGCAAACGGAATATTCTCTGATTGTTTTCCCCATGTTTTAGGATTCTACAGTGTCCTTAGAGAGCTCATTGCCGGTTAAAAAACAAACGTCCTTTCCTGCATTATGCCTAAGGCCTACATGATACACAGCATCAGTAACTCACAAAGTGCTTTACAGAAGCACTCGGGATCATTAGTCCCCATTTTAACAGAAGGGGAAACTGACTTGCCACAGTTTAGCCCTTAGCAGAGCCAGGACTAGACCCCAGGTTTGCTGAGACCCATACTGGGTTTCTAGCCACTAGGCCAGCCCTTTCTTTGTGCTAGCTGTGCTCTCTGTCTCCTTGCTGCATTTCTCTTAGATTGTAAGCTTTGGAGGCCAGGGCTTGCCTCTTTGTTAGACATGTGTACCTGGCCTGCTGGGTAACCCTGGGCACTGTTCTGTGCCTCAGTTTCCCCATGTGTAAAATGGGGATGCTGATCCTGACTCTCCTTTGTAAAGCTCTTTGGGATCTACAAATAAAAAGCACCAGATAACAACCAGGGGTGATGAGGATGAAGATTAATATCAGGCAAATAACATTAAAAATAGCAAAATAAAGCCTCCGTTACTGCAGGGTCTATCTGCCTGTGGTTATTAGAATGGAAAGAATGTTAAAGATCACATGGACTGACACTGTTCATGCCGGGCCGTGACTTGTATTTCTCTAGCTCAGCTCACTGTGTTTCACTTTGGGGTCAAGGCAGTTTCAGTTTCCAGATCACTCGCCCAATGAGCCTCCGACTGTTCCACATGGCAGGTCACATTTGAATAGAGTCAGAAAGTCTAGATTCATAGGTTCCAAAGACAGAAGGAACCACTGTGATCATCTACTCTGACCTCCTGGATAACGCAGGCCATGGGATTCCCCTGAACTACTTCCTGTTTGAATGATAGCTAGGGCCCTACCAAAGTCATGATCAATTTCACGGTCATCAGATTTTAAAAATCGTAAATTTCATGATGTCAGCTATTTAAATCTGAAATTTCACGGTGTTGTAATTGTAGGGATCCTGACCCAAAAAGGAGTTGGGGGGGGGGTCGCAAGGTTATTGTAGGGGTGGGGGTGGGGATTCTGGTGGTACTGCTACCCTTACTTCTGTGCTGCTGCTGGCAGGGCACTGCCAACACCCGCCGCTCTCTGGCTGCCCAGCTCTGAAGGCACCACAGAAGTAAGGGTGGCAATATTGCGATCCCCCTAAAATAAGCTTGCAACCCCCCTGCTACTCCCTTTTGGACCCCCAATTTAAGAAACGCTAGTCTCCCCCATGAAATCTGTATAGTGTAGGGTAAAAGCACACACAAGACCAGATTTCACGGTCCGTGATGTGTTTTTCATGGCCACGAATTTGGTAGGGCCCCAATTATAGCCGATTTTCTAGAAAAACATCTAATCCTGGTTTAAAAATTGTCAGTGATCGAGAATCCACCACAACCCTTGGGAAATGATCCAATGGTTAATTGCTCGCATTGTTAAAAATGTACACCTTATTTCCAGTCTGCATTTGTCTCGCTTCACCTTCCCGACGTTGGATCGTGGCAGACATTTCTCTCATAGACTGAAGAAACCATTATTAAATATTTGTCCCTCAGGTAGGTACTGTACTACAGACTGTGATCAAGTCACCCCTTCATCTTCTCTTTGTTAAGTGAAATAGATCGAGCTCTTTGAGTCTAACACTATTCAAGACATCGGTGGCCAGAACCCCACTACTTTGGGGGGAAATTAGAAACCCAAAATGGAAAAAATGGGGGGCACGTGGAGCCCCTGCCATCTGATTAGCACAGCCACAACTGTGCCTCAACTTTCTGGGATTTTCTTTTCCCCCCTACATGAACATTTCAGCGAGACCGACATGAATTCGAGAAAACTTTCAGTGTCGCAGAATCTGCATAAAATTTGTCCCAGTTCTAAGCCTAGCCCCTGCAAACCCTAACCCTAACCACGTCCGTACTAGCCATCTAGTCCAGTATCCTGTCTTCTGACAGTGGCCAGTGCCAGGTGCTTCAGATGGAATGAGCAGAATATCCTCTGTGTGGTCCAAGTGATCCATCCCCATTCCCAGCCTCTGGCAAACAGAGGCTAGGGACACTTCAGAGCATGGGTTTGTATCTCTGCCCATCCCGGCTAATAGCCATTGATGGACTTATCCTCCATGAACTAATCTACAGTAGAACCTCAGCATTACGGCCACCTCAGGAATGGAGCTCGTTCATAGCTCTGAAACGTTCGTTATGGGATGCTCCTCAGGGCGGACTGCTCAGAGCGGGGGCTCGGGAGCCGAGGCTCCCCTCATAGCAATTGCTGGGGCCTTTCAGCAGGACCTGACTCACTCTGAGACTGTCCTTTTAAGAAGAGGACACCCCAGCGATTGTGGAGCATTTCACAATCTCATTTGTCCCCCAGTGGCAAGGGCTGCTAAGGCTCACATCTGCTAAAACACGGGCGCTGAATGGAGCATGCACCTGTGCCCACGCGCGGGCCTCAGGGGAGACACGGAAACACCCTGATTTGCACACGCAAGTCAGAGCACACGCAGCGTCGCCCACGCCCTGCTGGGAACTGGCCCATCAGAGTGCTGGGGGGATGGGCAGGATGCCAGCTGCTGCTGATTAAATTCCCAGTGCTTCACCGCTGTGAGGACCAAGGCAGACGTGACATTGCCACAGCCGGGAGCCAAGACTGTTGGGTTCTGTCTTCGCTGCAGAGGCTCCTACTCGGCTGTTGCTCCCTCCACACACAAACCCTCTCACCCCGAGTTTGGTGGGGCATTAAACCTAGGCTAGCTGGCCCAGCTGGGGTACAGACTAAAGGCTGAGCGAGGCTTTCACTGGGGCTAGTAACCTTCCCACTTTGGAGTGTGGACGCAGGCTAAACCTCTTGAGTGCTGATAGCCCTCCTGTGTCTTCCCACAATTCCCCCTGTGTGCCCAGAAGGACAGACAAGTTCTCCCACAATGCACTGGGAGCACGTCACTGCACTTAGTACTCACTGCCGCACTAAGACCCGTGGGGGTCCCCCCAGCGGGTGTGACACACACGGGGAGTGCGGAACAGGGAGAACACAGGCACTCAGGCCGGGTTCTGCAGTGCGGCTGCTCGCTCTAGTGCTAGGCCGAGCCCGGGGCTTAGCCCCGGGTGCCGATCACTGGAGTTAGCGCTGTGGCGGAGACATCCCCGGAAGGCGGATTGCAGGGCTAGACTCACAGCAAACTTGTCGTAGAGCTGGTAGGTGAGCAGGGGGTTGGGGAGCTCCCGGAAGTAGGCTTTGCAGAGGGAGCTGACGCAGTGGATGTCCTGCAGGTACACATCTTTGTTGAGATCGGGGCAGCGGTCGCTGTCAAACTCCTGCCTGCGAACCAAGAAAGGGAGGAGAGTGATTGCACTGGTGGGCCTGGGGGAGATGGGGAGCAGCTAGGGATGCCCGCTGAGGTTGGACGTATTCCTGGAGGGAGGTTTCATCACATGACATCATCTTTAATGAAAGATTAATCTTTGAGTCCTGGAGACTCCAGGACAGGAGTGGCAGAAAAGTGTGTGTGGCCCCGAACCGTGGCCCCTTCCCTTCCCTCAAGGCCCCACTCCCACGCCGCCTCTTCCCCCCAAGACCCCACCCCCCTGCTTTCTTCTCCACCCCTCCCGCCACCCTCATGACTGGTAAAAAGCAAGAGGGCCACGACCCCCTGTCCCTGTCCCCCCGTTCACATCAGGGCTCCACGGGCCACATGCACAATCCACACACAGGCAAGGACACCCACACCCAGTCCCTGCACGCCAGACGCTGGGGCCAGCTGAGTCCCCCTGAGCCCTAGGACCTTGGTCCCTGTTTCTCTTTGTGCGCGTCACACTGGAGCTGGGGGGTGGGGGGAACATATCTGCTCTAATGCTGATGGAGCGAGTGAGCTACCGCTAGCACTGGAGCCATGGTGGGAGGTGGCAGGTGACGACGAGGGGTCGGTCTAGACATGTCGACAGCCCCGATCTAGCTTTAATGTAGCTCGCTCGGGTCTCAGAGCAGTGAAACCGCGGCAGCACGGGATGTACGAGCCCACCTGAAACTCTGGGTAATTGCCACGAGGTAGCTATGTCCAAGCTAGCTTGGGGATAGCTACATATGACACAGAGGCCCGGGGTGCCAATGAGCAAAGGGTTCACTGTTCTTTGCAAGAAACCTCCTGTCTCAGACCTGACAAACTCACTACACCCCAGACACCGCTCTCATGGTATTTATCCACCAAGGGTAGCATGTGAGGTCTCTACTGAAAGCTTGTAACGTAACGATTCTTCTAATCACTTTGAGATGTGCGTACGATTGATCAGTAAGGAATAATGGAACTATATTGAAAACTGCGCCTTGGAGGGAAAGTGGGTCACCAGAGAATCATATGTCTTGGTGCGGGCCCGTTCCAGCGGGAGGAAGATGTTGCCCCTCCCAGGCTAGCCCATGACGCAATGTATCGCTCCATTGTCCACCATCACAATAACCCAGAGAAGTCAATGGAAAACCATCAAAGGCAAACTATAAACACTAAAGCCACGTGGAGGTGAAAAGGAGCATGATACAGACAGGCGCTCGCTTCATCCGGGAGCGAAGGCAAAAGACTGGTTCAGCGTTACATTGTGCAGAGAAAGACACTCTGCAGCCATTCACTGAGAAGATGTTTTGTTGGGTGGGGATGTTTCAGGAAGGATTGGTCCCCGGTTCCAGGGAAGCCACCCGGCTCTGCAACCATCTGAATCTTGCAGGGCGAAACCTACTGTATTGGCTAGGAAAGGGAACTATTCATAAGAGTAGGACCCAGGGCCTGTTTTTTGATGTTTTGTATTGTAACCATCTGT